TAACAGAGGGATAGAATCAAGATCACGTGAAGTATTAATACCATTCTTCAATGCCTTGGTAAGGCCACACTTGGAATACTGCATCCATTGGTCACTACGATGTAAAAAAGATGTTGAGACTCTAGAAAGAGTACAGAGAAGAGCAACAAAGAGGGACTGGAGGCTAAAACATAAGGAACGGTTGCTGGAATTGGGTAGGTCTAGTTCAATGAAGAGAAGGACAAGGGGGGACATGATAGCAGTGTTCCAATATCTCAGGGGCTGCCACAAAAAAGAGGGAGTCAAGCTATTCTCCAAGGCGCCTGAAGGCAGGACAAAAAGCAACGGATGGAAACTAATCAAGGAAAGAAGCAACCTAGAACTAAGGAGAAACTTCCTGACAGTTAGAACAATTAACCAATGGAACAACCTGCCTCCAGAAGTAGTGAATGCTCCAACACTGGAATGGTGTAGGGTTCCTGCCTGAGCAGGGGGTTGGACTCGATGACCTCCAAGGTCCCTTCCAACATTATTATTATTATCATCATTCATCGCACAGTCAGCCAGATGTTCAGACTGGATTTGGCATTTTGTCTACCTATCGAGTCCTTACCCAGGACCTGGGATAGGCAGATGTGGATGTTTGATGGTATTACAGATATCGTCGCAGGATGGAAGCAGTTCCTAGTAAGGCCGCCTTTTGCAATTGACTAATAGCGAATTTGTCAATGCCAATGGTGTTCAAGTGGTGCTCCAGTTGTTTTGGGATTGCACCCAAGGAGCCTATGACTATTGGTACTACCCTTGCTTGCTTTTGCCACAGTCTTTCTATTTCTATTTGTAGGTCTTTGTATTTTGTTATCTTCTCCAGTTCTTTCTCTTCTATTCTGCTATCTCCAGGCACTGCCACGTCCACTATCCAGACTTTTTTGTCTTTCTTATCGACAATTGTTAAGTCTGGGGTGTTATGTTGCAGGTGCTTGTCTGTTTGAATTCTGAAGTCCCAGAGCAGTTTAATTTTATCATTTTCTATGACTTTCTCTATTTTATGATCCCACCAGTTTTTGCTTACAGGCAAATGATATTTTTTGCAGATCTTCCAATGCACCATTGTTGCTACTTTGTCATGCCGCTGCTTGTAATCAGTCTGTGCAATCTTCTTGCAACAGCTTACCAAGTGGTCCACTGTTTCTTCAGCTTCTTTGCATAGGCGGCACTTACTGTCTGTTGCTGTCTTCTCAATTTTGACTTTGTATGCATTTGTCCTTAAGGCTTGGTCTTGTGCAGCCAGAATTAGTCCCTCGGTCTCTTTCTTCAATTTTCCTGCTCTTAGCCATTGCCAGGTTTTATTATTATCTGCTTTCCCAGCTATTTTTTTAATGTATTGGCCATGTAGTGCTTTGTCTTCCCATGCCTCTATTCTGTTCTTCATTTGGTCTTTCTTGTAGGCCAGTTTGGTCTCTCCAGTAGTTAGTAAGCCTTCCTGATATACTAATTTCAGTGCATCTTCATCATTGTTCTTCAGATATTCTTCCAAACCATTTTTTTTTTTCTTCAACCATCTGATGTACTTGTAGCATTCCACGCCCACCTATTTGCCTTGGTAGATAAAGTCTATCAATGTCACTGCGTGGATGAAGGGCGTGATTCATTGTCATTATTTTTCTGGTCTGCCTATCCATTGCTTTTAGTTCTGCTTGAGTCCAGTCCACTATTCCAGCTGTGTACCTAATGACTGGGATTGCCCAGGTGTTGATTGCCTTTATGGTATTTCCTCCATTGAGTTTGGATTTTAAGATCTTCTTCACTCTCTTGATGTATTCACCTCTAATCTTTTTCTTGACTTCAGTGTGCTTGATGTTGTCAGCTTGAAGGATACCCAAGTATTTGTAGTACTCTTCCTCATCCAGACTCTTAATGTTATTTTCGTGGGGCATCTTGATTCCTTCAGTTTTCACTATTTTTCCTTGTTTGATAGTAAGTGTGGCACATTTGTCCAAGCCAAACTCCATTACAATATCTTGGCTATATATACGGACAGTGTTGAGCAGCGATTCTATTTCAGATGATGTTTTTCCATACAGCTTCAGATCATCCATGTAAAGGAGGTGGGATAGTCTAGCAGATGTTTTTGATGTTTGATAACCATGTCCTGAGTTATTCAGTATTGTTGACAGAGGAAACAGTGCAATAACAAATAGTAATGGTGATAATGAATCTCCTTGAAATATTCCTCTCTTGATATTAACCTCTCCCAGCTTTTCACCATTGATCTGCAACTGTGTCTTCCATTGTGCCATCGATCTTTGCACAAATTTTCTGATGTTTCTACTGACTCCTGTTATTTCTAGGCACTTTATTATCCAATCATGTGGCAGAGAGTCAAATGCCTTTTTGTAGTCAATCCATGCCACATTCAGGTTGGTCTTCCTTCTCTTGCAGTTTTCCAAGATCATTTTGTCTATTAGGAGTTGATCTTTTGTTCCTCTGCTATTGGGGCGGTTTCCTTTCTGCTCAGGTGGAAAGAGATTGTTTTCAACTAGATGCTGTTGTACTGCATCAGCTATTATTATTATTATTTTATTTTATTATTATTATTATTATTATTGATCATCGCACAGTCAGCCAGATGTTCAGACTGGATTTGGCATTTTGTATACCTATCGAGTCCTTACCCAGGACCTGGGATAGGCAGATGTGGATGTTTGATGGTATTACAGATATCGTCGCAGGATGGAAGCAGTTCCTAGTAAGGCCGCCTTTTGCAATTGACTAATAGCGAATTTGTCAATGCCAATGGTGTTCAAGTGGTGCTCCAGTTGTTTTGGGATTGCACCCAAGGAGCCTATGACTATTGGTACTACCCTTGCTTGCTTTTGCCACAGTCTTTCTATTTCTATTTGTAGGTCTTTGTATTTTGTTATCTTCTCCAGTTCTTTCTCTTCTATTCTGCTATCTCCAGGCACTGCCACGTCCACTATCCAGACTTTTTTGTCTTTCTTATCGACAATTGTTAAGTCTGGGGTGTTATGTTGCAGGTGCTTGTCTGTTTGAATTCTGAAGTCCCAGAGCAGTTTAATTTTATCATTTTCTATGACTTTCTCTATTTTATGATCCCACCAGTTTTTGCTTACAGGCAAATGATATTTTTTGCAGATCTTCCAATGCACCATTGTTGCTACTTTGTCATGCCGCTGCTTGTAATCAGTCTGTGCAATCTTCTTGCAACAGCTTACCAAGTGGTCCACTGTTTCTTCAGCTTCTTTGCATAGGCGGCACTTACTGTCTGTTGCTGTCTTCTCAATTTTGACTTTGTATGCATTTGTCCTTAAGGCTTGGTCTTGTGCAGCCAGAATTAGTCCCTCGGTCTCTTTCTTCAATTTTCCTGCTCTTAGCCATTGCCAGGTTTTATTATTATCTGCTTTCCCAGCTATTTTTTTCATGTATTGGCCATGTAGTGCTTTGTCTTCCCATGCCTCTATTCTGTTCTTCATTTGGTCTTTCTTGTAGGCCAGTTTGGTCTCTCCAGTAGTTAGTAAGCCTTCCTGATATACTAATTTCAGTGCATCTTCATCATTGTTCTTCAGATATTCTTCCAAAGCCATTTTTTCTTCTTCAACCATCTGATGTACTTGTAGCATTCCACGCCCACCTATTTGCCTTGGTAGATAAAGTCTATCAATGTCACTGCGTGGATGAAGGGCATGATTCATTGTCATTATTTTTCTGGTCTGCCTATCCATTGCTTTTAGTTCTGCTTGAGTCCAGTCCACTATTCCAGCTGTGTACCTAATGACTGGGATTGCCCAGGTGTTGATTGCCTTTATGGTATTTCCTCCATTGAGTTTGGATTTTAAGATCTTCTTCACTCTCTTGATGTATTCACCTCTAATCTTTTTCTTGACTTCAGTGTGCTTGATGTTGTCAGCTTGAAGGATACCCAAGTATTTGTAGTACTCTTCCTCATCCAGACTCTTAATGTTATTTTCGTGGGGCATCTTGATTCCTTCAGTTTTCACTATTTTTCCTTGTTTGATAGTAAGTGTGGCACATTTGTCCAAGCCAAACTCCATTACAATATCTTGGCTATATATACGGACAGTGTTGAGCAGCGATTCTATTTCAGATGATGTTTTTCCATACAGCTTCAGATCATCCATGTAAAGGAGGTGGGATAGTCTGCAGATGTTTTTGATGTTTGATAGCCATGTCCTGAGTTATTCAGTATTGTTGACAGAGGAAACAGTGCAATGACAAATAGTAATGGTGATAATGAATCTCCTTGAAATATTCCTCTCTTGATATTAACCTCTCCCAGCTTCTCACCATTGATCTGCAACTGTGTCTTCCATTGTGCCATCGATATTTGCACAAATTTTCTGATGTTTCTACTGACTCCTGTTATTTCTAGGCACTTTATTATCCAGTCATGTGGCAGAGAGTCAAATGCCTTTTTGTAGTCAATCCATGCCACATTCAGGTTGGTCTTCCTTCTCTTGCAGTTTTCCAAGATCATTTTGTCTATTAGGAGTTGATCTTTTGTTCCTCTGCTATTGGGGCGGTTTCCTTTCTGCTCAGGTGGAAAGAGATTGTTTTCAACTAGATGCTGTTGTACTGCATCAGCTACCACACCAGTTAGTAATTTGAAAGTTGTTGGTAAACAGGTAATTGGCCTGTAGTTGCCTGGTGTTGCCCCTTTTGCTGGATTTTTTATTATTAGGTAGGTTTTCCCAGTTGTTAGCCACTTTTCAATTTCTCCTCCTTGTAGTATATTGTTGAACTGCTTGGAAATGAGTGGGTGTATATTATTATTATTACTATTACTATTATTATTATTATTATTATTACCCATCTCTCTCTTTCTCTTTTTTATATCAAACACAGTAGCTCTGCTTATACTTCCCAATTTATTTTCTTCAATTGGAAGTTGTATTGGATTTCAACTTCTATGGGTTGCGCTGGCTAGGAATTGCAACCTAACAATCTTGTAATAAGAGTATTTCTTGCTTTTAATTTTCTAGGCGACGCATTTTACAATGCATCATGATGAAGAGAAAGATGTAATTACAGGCTTGAAGCAGAAAACTCAGTATGGAAGACCAAATTGGGAAAATGAGTTCAAAACAATTGCAGGCCAACATCCAAAGTAGGTTTCTTGTGCAATTATTATACTTTATTATATCAATATATCATTACTTTTGTTTCATTGGTTAGTAAGTGCTGGTTCCTGTTAATTTTTGCCATTTTGGACTTTGTGCAAAACCTATGGTGGGATCTGCAGTTGAGGTTGTCAGGTGTGAAAGATCAAATCCATGCATTAAGGTTCAATTTAATTGATTTATTGCTAAAAGCTTATGCACAGGAATCTTTTCAACTAAGTTCAGCACCTGGTTATAGTTAGATAAAGATAATGGTAATCGAGGAGGGATTAGACTTAGTTTGTGGTTACATAACGATTTTAGACTGATCCCTCCTTTTACTCCTCCCCGGCTCTGCCAGTGCTTCTACTACAGAAGTGGGGGGAAGTTAAAAGACTAGCTAGCCTGAAATCACTGAAGGGGAAGAAGCGATATAAAGCAGATTCCACCCCCGCCTCAAACCTTGACGTGCTCATCTACTTGTTTGTACTGAGTCTAGCGAGATTCTTGTAAATAGGCAAGTAGCAATAAAGTTACTGTTCTGATCAGCTTCAGTGTCATTCTGGTTCCTTGCATCTGACACAACCTGAGAATGTTGCTACCAGTGTTAAAGGGTGAATTTACCTTATGAGAATTTTGATAAACATAAGGCTGTGCATATTATAATGCTTGTAACACAGTCCAGTTTCCTATTCAATATTCCTGCTTATATTATATTATATTTGGAACCTAAATTCCTGTTTTTCTCTTTATACCTTCAGTTCCAGGGTTGGTGTTTTCCTGTGTGGACCTGAAGCCTTGGCTGAAACTCTAAATAAAATGTGCATTAATAATTCAGAAGCTGATCCAAGAGGCATACACTTTATATTCAACAAAGAAAATTTCTGAAGACATACTTACAAAATTTAATTCAGCCATGGTGAATTAATTGCAATTAATGAAAAAATAATATTTCTTTGGAATTTTGTTAAAAGTTTCAGGTGTGTTTGATATTATGTACTTTAGAGGAAGAATATGCAATTTTAAACTGATCCTTTTTTAATCCCATGGCAAGACTTCTTAAAAGGTTTAGGATATATTAGCATTGTCAAATACAGATTGAGTTCATATGTGTAATCCAAATATACAGTGGATTACCAATTAAGGTTTATGGCAAGCTAGGCAATGTGCAGACTATGGACTCTTTTGACTCCCCCAGCCTGCCAAAATCTGATCAAGAGTTAGTTCCTTATTCAACCACAGAACTCATTGAGTGATTTTGAACCAATCACTGTCTCTCAGTATCACCTATCTCAATAGGTTGCTACTGGTAAACCAAGGACAGAGAGTGTATACAAGCAGCACTAAAACTATAGCCCAAATACTCTAAGTCAGGGGTCCCCAATCCCTGGTCCATGGACCAGTACCAGGCCGTGGCTTGCCAGCAACTGGTCTGCACAAACAAACAAAGCCCCATCCAGGGGATGCAGGCAGCACACAAAACCACACACCCTCCAGTCCTCGCAAAAACCTCCCTCCGTGGAATTGCTCCCTGGTGCCCAAAAGATTGGGGACCTCTGCTCTAAGGTGCTCAGTTACAATGTCTCACTCATTATAAATCTCTTGAGGCTATATAAACAAAAATTTGCAATCACTGTTTCAAGCACTTAAAGATGCATCTGGTGTGACTTCTAGAATAGAAATAGCACACCTGAGGACAGGATTACTAATGCTCACCTTTCACTTAAATGTCATTTCTTCCCAGCAGGACTAATTCTATTAGTTCTGGAAGACCAATTTCAATTTTCCTGCTAAAAATAATGGTGCAGAAACCGACTCACTATGGCTTACATGCAAACTGTTCTTTGAATATTCTCAAATTAGGAGAATTATTAGAGAAAGAGTTTAAAATGCTGAATATCCAAATGAGATTAGCCATATTCCAGTCCACATTAGAGTTTGTATAATATATCCCAGATGGAAATCAAGAAGATATCTAGTTGTACTAGTTTCTGCTGCCCGTTAAAGAGCATTTTAGAGCTCAAGTTTATTATCTTACTCTGCACACTTCTTAGCCCTCATGTTTAAAAGAACTTGTCCTTGTTGGAAATATTTTATCAAGACCATCTAATATTTGCTACTACACTGCTCTGATTACCTGGGCAATTGGTAAATGATGATTGTTCCTGATATAATTAACTGGACAAAATGAAAATGTTCTTATTGCCTTCTTCTTGTTAAATTATGTAATATTGCTAATGTTGCCAAATTTTGCATAGCAGCAATAAGATTGGCAGACAAATAACTAACACTCCTGGATATAGAAAAACCAATTGAAGGATCTGAAGGGTTTTTTTAACCATTATCATTGATTGGATAGTGCTTAACTGCATACTTACCCTGATCACTGATTGAACAAATTTATTTCCTGTTTTGTTATTAATTTTATGAAATCCTAGCAGTTTGTTATAAAATCTACTGGGATCTATTGGTTTGCTGAAATGTACTTTTAATATACTAATAAGCCACTAGTTTAGCATTTAGTAAATATATTTCTTAGCAGTATTTCACTACTAAAACTATTAATACAGTACTTATTAACCTCTTAAATGTTATTTTCCTTAGCATCCATTAACTGAATTCATATTCTGTTTTCGCTCCGCTTATTTGTATTTTATGCACTCATTTACTTGTATTTTATATATTCTTTCTGTTCTTCTTAATCCTTTTTCATATTTTATAATTTTTGATGTAAAGCTGAATAAATACTAGTCAATGAATTTTGAATGTATTAAACTTGACTGAATATACTGCTACTGAATATACAGCAGAATATACTGCTACTGAATTCTAAATAGACATGCATAAATGGGCATTGGAAGGAACACACTATACCAACATTTTATTATATTGTATGATGTTCCAGAATTGTTAACAGTATAAAAAATTTAAATACTGAAATGTGTTCAGTATTTAAATTTTTTATACTGTTAACAATTCTGGAACATCATACAATATAATAAAATGTTGGTATAGTGTGTTCCTTCCAATGCCCATTTATGCATGTCTATTTAGAATTCAGTAGCAGTATATTCTGGATTCAAAGATTATCGATATAGAGTTCTACAAAGTATGTAAATAAGGCAGCATAAAGCATATAATACAAATAAAGCTCTTCTTTTCAAATTATTAAAACAGTTTATTAGTACTTTTCAGTGTATTTTCTTAAAATAAATGCTATTTTTTCCAAATATGTTAACATGGGAATATTATCTTAGATTCTTTGGGAATGTGATAACAATGGCAGATGAAGTTTTCCTGTTTAAACTTTCTACTTAAATTGAGAGTTCTGCTTCAGTAAAATTTGTTATTTTCAATTTACTAATATAGTCACACCCAACTAACTTCCTTCTGCTTTCCAGATTTCTGATTTATTATGTTTAATGTTAAATAAAAAATAATTTTAATTCAACTGTGTACATGAGGGTAATTTTGCAAAAATTAAAGATTATTATACAATGCTTATTGTAGAGATTTTAAACACACCCAAAATTTGGTTTTCCCCTAACTTTTATAAATGTGTTGCTTTTTACGTAGGGTTATCAGATGTCCAATGAATGGAGATATAGTCTTAAAATCAAATATGATTTGAGTGTCTTATTTATTTATTTTTTACTGTTTTCACAACAGTAATTATTCAAACTTTCATGTGTTGTGACTTTGTAAATTGTCTGCTCCCTTCTTTCCCTCATCCATCAATAGACTTGACAGCCTAGATTTATATTATTTATTTCCTGATTCAAACAATCGGCTTCAATCCAGCACCTTCAAATCATTGTGGTCTGTAGATCACATGACATGTAATACATTTGTATGGTGAAATTTGAAAAGTGCATCCTTGTTGATTCAATATTATTGCTAGAATGTGTTCTTGAAAATAAAGATTTGTTGGAAGAATATTACAATCGAAAAACCAGTCTGTAATAGTATGCAGGAATGATCTTGAGAGTCTAGGTGAAGAGATGCTGCCTAGGGCAGGGGTCCCCAACCCTGGTTTGCAGACCGGTACTGGGCCACATGCACTTAAGAACCGGGCTGCACAGCTGGAGGTGCACTGAAAGCAGGTCTTCTACCTTCAGGAATGTGGCAAGTCTGCAGGAGTCTGGGCAGGAGTGGCAGGGAAGAAGCCATCTTGCTCAGTGCAAGGTCTTCCAATGGACGCAACATCTGAGCTCCACATCCTTCCTCCTCTCCCTCCTCCTCCTGTCTCTCCTTCTGCCTCCTACTTCTCTTCCTGGTCCTGCTCCCTCTTTCTCCTGCTGCTTCTTCTTTCTCCTCCTCTTCTTCCTCACTTTCCTCCTCTCCCATCCTGGCACCCCAGCTAGGTTCATGCTCCCTTTGTGCAACTCTTCAAGTTTGCAAGACAAATGTGCGCCAGCCTAGCTTCCAACCAGGGGCTCCCCCAAAGCCTCATTGAAGGGGGACCCCCAAAGGTATGTGTATGTGAGGGTGTCTTTCTCAGGGTGCAAATAGGGGCAGGGAGAAGCTATCTTTTATCTTTAAGCATTGCGTCTCCAAGGGAATCCCTCTCTCATTTGCACCTTTTCTAAGACTGCTGGGTGCTTGCACAGTGCTGAGTTGGCTTGCTTCCCCCCCCCCCCCATGGTTTTTTCAGCAGTTCCTCAGTGTGCTGGGTCTTTGGTTTGTTTTGCTGGAAGGCTGACTTTAGGATTGTCTCTTTTCCTTCCCACTTTCTTAGAAGCAGAAAGTCACTGGTCTAATCTAATACAATAGAAATAAAGTGCATTGTTTAGTTGTTTGTTTATTTAGAAAATTTAGAATAAATGTAATGCACTTGAATCATCCTCCCCACCCCCCCCCCGTCCATGGAAAAATTGTCTTCCATGAAACTGGTCCCTGGTGCCAAAAAGGTTGGGGACCTCTGGCCTAGGTAAGAGGGAGACTAACCCACAGCTGCATAGTGGGCGGAGCAAGAGGCTTAGAGATTCTGCTTAAGTTACCATGCTATAAAGGTGATGGCCAAAGAATTGTACTTTTGGACTTGCAAGATTGTCCTAATGCAGCTTTACAATTATATGATCTGTCTGGTCTACTTGGTAAGGATGACCCAGTCTTACTGATACTGGAAAAAATAATTTCATATACTGTATATTTTTTGTAAGTTTTGTTGTAACTTTTGTTGCAGATGCCCAAAAAAATTAAATAGCTAATATGTCCTTGCCCCCCCCCCCACACACAATTTGGCCTCCTTTCCCTGACCATGTATTCCTCTGCCCTTCAGATATCTGGTAATCCTCTCTTTACCTCACTGTCCCATCCCAATTGCCAATACTGCAGCGACAATCACAAAAAGAATATTCTCAGTAGAAAGAGTTATTAAAGAGTTATGATTTCCAAGGCCTAGAGAAAGAAAACAAAGGTATAGCAAACATTTCACATTAACTGACAGCCTTTTTCAGTCTGTTTTACCAATGATTGAAAGTTGTGAGATGGAGGTGCCGGATACTTTTAAAAATATGTGGTGACTTCCGGTGGATTTTGCGCGCGCGATGGCGGCTACTTTGTAGCCGTCCTCCTGGGTAAGTGTAAGAACCGCTATGAACAGCAGACATCAGCTGTTCAGCGGTTCAAAACCCCCTCCCGGGCAAAGGGGGGGGCAGAGAGTTGTCTGAATAGTGGTAGAGCCTCTTATGCACCCCCCAAGTTTTTCTTTTTGGGGTGAAAAGAGTGCTCCCATGGAGTTCAGACAGTCTCCGCTTCCCAGCTGCTTTTGTCCTTAGGGACAAAACGAGCCGCTGCAAACACCTCCGTGATTAAAGAGAACTGGTGAGGTTTTTTTTTATAAACGGACAGAGCTGAGTAGAGGATTTAGTTTTTGCTTTCTTTGATTTATTTGGATTTCAAGTTTCAAGACTTGTTTTTACTTTTATACTCCCTCTTTTTATTTTTTTTTCTCTTTGTTGAAAGGGAAAGTAAAATGGCGATCGGCAAGCCTCTCGGTGTTTTTTTTTTTGGGGGGGAAGCTAGAATGGTGACCGGCAGACTTTTTGGTGTTTCTTTTTTTCCCTTTCCTTTTTTTTTTGTTTTTTTATGATTGGAATGGAGTGTTAGTATTATTATTTTTGTTTAGTTTTTGTGTTTTGTATTTTGTATTTTTTGGTACTTTTTAAAAAATGGAACAGATTTTTTCTATTTAATTATTTTTTTTCTTCTCCTCCTTTTTTCTTTTTTTTTCTGAACCCCTTTCTTTTTAATAATGATCCCTTTTGAAGGATTTTTTTTTCTGAATTTAGGGAGTTAATTTCATATTTTTTTAATTTTTTTTTGCTTAATTCTTGTAATTTTTAAGAAGGAGTAAAGTTTTTTTAAGATTGCTCCAAAGCGTCCAGTAATCTCTACAGCTTCCAAGGTGGCTTCTTCTTCGGTGTTATCATCAGGGCAACAACCTAAATTAATAGCTTCACCTTCTTCCCTGCCACAGTCAATAATGGTGAAGGACTTGCAAGATATGATGGGAGATGTTATACTTCAAATTAGGGGAGAAATGAAAGAGATTTTAGAGGAAAATAACAAGACTTTGAGGCAAGAGATAGTTTTAACTTTAAAAGGAGTTGCCTCTGTTCTTGAAAAGTTGAACTCTTGTGTAGAAGAAGTAGTAGAGAAAGTGAAATTGATGGAGGAAAAATTTGAAAGTATGGAAAAAGAGATGAAAAACTTTCAGGATGAGATTCTTATGCTTCAATATAAACAAATGGAATATGCTTTAAGAATCAGAGGTTTACATTAGTCTGTGCAAGGAGATTTGAGAGAGATGGTGGCAAAGGACTTTGCTCTGATTCTGAATAGAGAAGAAGAGGAAATACTTAGTGGAATTGATCAGACATTTAGAGTTAACTCTGTGGTGGCAGAGCAAAAGAACTTGCCAAGAGATGTGGTAATTTACTTTGGGAAAAGATCCTTGCGCAATGAAATTATACAAGCTTTTTATAAGAAGAGGTTTCAAATTGCTTCACAAGATGTTATAATTTTAAAGGAGATCCCACCAAAAATTTTAAGAAGAAGAAAGGAGTTTGCTTTTTTAGCAGACGAACTTAAAAAGAGACAAATTTTGTTTAGATGGGATGTTCCGACTGGAATGGTGGTGAGCAAACTGGGGATACGTTATAGTCTTAATACTGTTTCTAAAGCAAAAGATTTTTATACTTCGGTCCTGGGGGTAAGCTCATCATCACCTATTATGTTTAAAGCTTTGGAAGAAAAAAAGGCAGAATTGCAGCCAGAAGTGCTTAGAATTATGAAAATTGAGAAACTTCAGTTTGAGGGGCCTCAACAAGTAGAGATGGAGGAGCAGAAGACAACCTGTGCAACATATAATTGT